TGACCTGCTGGGAAGGGGAGGCTGGGAGTTTGTAACTCCAGGTGTCCTGCAGTCAGATTACTGTTCGGCTTGCCTCCAGCCACAGACTTTTCCCTCACTTGATATGGTAATCCCCCAAATCAGAAACACCTTGGTGCCTCTCCCATTTCTCCCATTGCTTCACTCAATGAGACTGCAAGACCTGAAAACTTCATTTCACAAAGAACTGTTCAGCTCACTACTCTCCGAGAGTAATCACCACGGCCCTAATCCAGGCTTCCTCAGCCCTCCCTGGTCCGAGATCAACCTATTAATTGCCTCTCTGCTTCCACCCCACCCTTTATCAAAGCCTCCCCTGCCCCCACCCCACTACCAACTCACTCTCAGCAGATAAAGTTGGTTATTAGAAGCAAGAGGCCAGGGCTGCCTCCGCCCACGCTCCTTGGCTCCCTCAGGGTCTAGCTCTGCTCCCTCAGGGTCTAGCTCTCTGTCTTGCCTACAAGACCAGCCTGTTGGTGTGTGCCTTAGAGCCCTGGTTCTCTCTTTTGGGTCCCTCACCCAGGCCACAGTTTACATTGCCCTTCAACCAGTTCTGCCATCAGTCCACCCATTTACAACCTAACCCTTCAGCACTCAGCTCTGGGTATTTCCTTCTAGAGGCCTTTCCTGTCCACCCGCCCAGGACAAGATGCACCCATTCTGCCAGATTTGTCATCTCAAGCCTCCTGCGCCATCATATCCCACACTGACTAGGCCCAGGAATCACCCTCCTCCTCCACTGTGCCCTTAGCAGAGTCCAGCTGCCTTCTGCTCACCAAGGCCTGTACCCTCCTCGGCTCCCTACTGGCCGAGGGGTCACTAACAGGAGCTTAACGGAGTCCATAGCGAGATCCCATCTCCCTATCCGGCCTCACGTCTCGCCAACCCCTCCCTGCCCGCCCGGGTCATTTCTTCATTGTGTTCTTACACCATCCTTGACATCCTTTCCCCCTATTTAATGATGAGCTCTTTGTTCCACATCTACTTTGAGAAGTTCCATGACTTGCCCATTGCTGTCCCTAGGGCCCAGCCCATAATGGACACTCCATAATAAATAAATCATGAGATCACTACTTTACTGTCCTTTTGTCATTCAGGCCATCTGGGGTGATTGAAATGATTTGAGATGGGTAAGACCTGAGATGGGGGAAATGGACCTGTCCCAGCGCTGCTCCCAACCCAAACTACTCTCATGGAAATGCTTGTCCCTAGGCAGACAGTAGAGGGGAGAGAGGGGCTTCCTAGGGATTACCCTCTGGTGCTTCCGGGGGCGGCAGGTGCTTCAGACCCCACCACAGGAGATGCCAATGGCTGAGCCAGGGGCATTTCCTCTGAGTGTTTTCAAGCGGGTGGGCAGAGACCCACAGGGTGGAAGAGATGAGGGGAGAAAGGATTGGAAGTGGGGCCAGGAAACGAATATACATGCAAACAGGTAACTTTACTCATCCTGCAACATAGAGAAGGTGACAATTCACTGGCCCTGGGGTGCCTTGGCTCCTTGGCTCTGGGTAAGGAGTGGGGACAGTCAGGATGGGGGGCTCTGGCCACATCAGTTTATCATGCAACCACCCTTCTCCTTGAAGGGATTCTTGTCCTCAGGGATCTCTTTGAGAAGAGGGTCGTTTTCTGCTTGGGCCTCCACATAATCCTTAATTTCCTTACCCGTCTTGGAAATCTGAAAGAAAGCAAAATATGGCCCCGGCCTTTGTTGGCTGCTCGGGATCCATGACTTGGTCAGTCCCAAGAAAAAGACATCGTGGCAGGTTAAGGAGGGAGGCCAGACGGAGAAAGACAGGGGGCGGGCAGGTGCAACGGCCGGGAGCACCTCCACCAGAACCACAAGGCCTGGTACTGGCCAGGCGCCCCGAGAGGGTCCCCTCCGCTCTCTCCTGTGCATGGGCCCAGCCCCAGCCCCCGCCACTCCTGCCACATCCCCATCACCTACTGCTGCTCCTCCTGTCCCACCCTGTGGCCGCCTGCATACCGCAGGTCTGGCTCCATGGGGAATCTGAAGGCTGAGAGAGGGCGCAAGGAAGGGAACAGGAGGCTCACCAGAGCTCTTGGGTTCTTCACTTCCCTCTTCAGCTGTTCCACCTCCATCTGCAATCGCTCCTTCTCGCTCAGATCCTGGGCCATCGGGCACTGGAGAGACACGGTCCCCAAAAGGATCCCACAGCCGATGGCTGGTCCCCCAGCTCCCTCCTCTGCGTTCTCTGCACCTCAACTTCTACTTCTTCCCTTCCCTGCCACACTCTCCAGGGGCCCCTGGAGTTCAGGCTGGTCACAGCCTCCTCCCCTCCCCCAGTGGCTTACACTCAGGCACCCAAGCTCCAGGCTAAGGGAGAGGCCCTATCTTTGTACTTTGCTAAGGGCCTGTCAGGACAAGAATGGAGCATGGGAAATGGAGAGAAAAGGGGTGTCTTTTTGTGAGGAAGATTTGGGAAGCAAAGTTATTACTCCACATAAAGATCCAGGTAGAAGCTTTCTTTGTCTCCAGGTCCTGTCAAAGATTAAGAGAAGGAGACATGGAACCTGCCCGAATCTTGCTCTGATCTCTGCTCTGTTACTTCCTTGCTGTGTTGCCTTAGGCAAGTCACCCAACCTCTCTGAACCTTACTTCCCTTACCTACACAGTGGGTATAATAATAGAACCTACCTTTTTTTTTTTTTTTT